TATATTTTATTCAAAAATAAAAACATCATCGTTTTCTCAAAATCACATAAAGTCATATTATAACATCGACTGAGATAAATAATAAAATGAAATATTAAAATYATGATGTATCTCGCTGCATTGCGCGAGTACGCTTCTAGTTATGTTAAAGGGTAATATATATTGGAAGGGAATGATTTTCGTATATATTCTTTTTCTATTGTTTTCTTATTGTGATTGGTTTCCTTTTTCTTAGCTCCTTTGTAGCTATCCTGAAGATGTGTGTATATATATATATATATATATATATATATATATATATATATATATATATATATATATCATCTTACTGTACTTTATAATGAGAGAAATGGAAAAGGCACATATTTTTTTATGGTAACAAAGCTGGTCACATACCACTCGACCAAAACCACAAAACCCTAGATCATCGATCATCGTTCCATCATGGCCGATGACGGAAACAATTCAGTGTCCAAAACCAATGACCAAACTTCCGACCGTAACTCATCATATTACCTTCATCCATCAGATTACCCAAGGCAAATGCATGTGAATGATGCATTGAACGACAATAACTATCTCGACTGGATTCAGGAGATGGAGAATTTTTTGTTCGTGAAAAACAAAATAGGTTTCGTTGATGGGACTCTAAAGAAACAAGAAAAGACTGACACTGTGTTACGTTGTGATGCTATGATTAAAGGATGGCTGACTACAGCCATGGAAAAGGAAATTAGGGTTAGCGTGAAGTATGCTAACACTGTTGAAGAAATTTGGAAGGATCTGTGTGAACGATTCGAAAGGGAGAGCGCACTAGAGCATATGAATTAAAGAAACTTCTCAGCACAACCAGGCAGGATGGGGCCTCGATTTCAGCCTACTACACCAAATTAAGGGGAATCTGGGATGAAATAGGCTTAGTGTTCTCCATACCAAGGTGTTCTTTTGCAGGTTGTGGATGTGGCATTAGCAAGAAACCGGGAGAATTAAGGGACAAGGAAAGACTATATGAATTCCTTCTTGGTCTTAACAGCAACTTCTCCACAATCAGAACACAGATTCTAGCGATGAAGCCTATCCCGACCTTAGGTGAGGCTTACCACATAGTTGCGGAAGACGAACAACAAGGAGTCGTGTCTGCAGGAAAGAAGACTAATACCGAGACCGTTGCGTTTCAAGCCTTCATGAGGCGCTGATGGGGCCACTGGCGGACAAAACAGAACCGAATCAAAGAACAGAAAAAGGACCACACATGATGAAGTGGAACATTGTGAATTTTGTGGGAAAGACGGGAATGCGATGGATGCTTTAAATGCATAGGGTACCCGAATGAATTAAAAATTTATAAATAGAAAAAGAAAGATCGAGGAGGGAGGTACGTGGGTGCGGTGGGGGAACCGACGAAGAAGAGGTAAAATAAGCTTCGATTCATGAATCAGTATTAAGGTAGCGTTTGGTACGCAGACATAATTGGACAGGACTGAACTAGACAGGAGAGGACAAGAGGGTAGGACTGGACAGGACTGGACTGGACGGGACATGACTGAACATAACAGGAGAGTGTATGGTGTTTGGTACAACTAGGACTGGACGAGACAGAACTAGACAAGCTACCCCCAAAAGTTATTTGATGATTTTAAATATTATATAATAGTTAAAATTAACACAAATAAAGTAAATAATTAAAGAATAAATATTTATACATAATTTTCATATTTGTACCAAATTTGAATGAAAATTTTGATATAATTGATGGTAGTAGTGGTGGTGGAGGTGGTTTTGGTTAGAGATGGCCAAAATCCGGTTCCGGGTTGGTTCTTAACCGCTCCCTACCGGTCCTAATTAAGACAAAAACCGGCGGTAACCGGTCCCGGTTCCGGTGAAATACCTTGTAACCGGTCAAGATTACCGGTAACCGGTTAAGGAATCCGGTCCCAGTTCCGATCCCATCCGGTCCCGGCAAAAAAAAATATTTTTCTTTTCAAATTTTTGTTTATTAATAAATTTTTAGTATTATTAATATGTTTGTAATATGTTATTTTTAATATGTTTTATATAAATACGTTTTATTATAAATACGTTTAAAAATATATTTTGTTATATATATATATATATATATATACACGTTTAATTTTAAAAATATGTTTTGTTATATATATATATATATGTTTAATTTTATAAATACATTTTGTTATATATATATATACACATTGACTTTTGTTGACCGGGCCGGTTCTATAACCGGTTACATAACCGGTTCCGGTCTTAACCGGTCTCGGTGCTAGAAAACGTTAAAATCCATAACCGATTCATAACCGGCGGTCCACAACCCGTCCATACCGGTCCCGGGCCGGTTCGGGTCCCTCTCCGGCCCCGGTTCCGGTCCTCCGGCGGTTGTGGGCCAGGCCGGGCCCATTTGACCAAACACAGTTTAAATAAGCAATTCAGTATGAGCAGATATCAACCAAACTAATTGAATCTTCATAAGAATTAAACAATTTCATATTCGCCAATTTCTATGGATATTATAAAAAATGTTTAGTGTGTTTAACTCAATCAATATCTACGCCTTGCTACACATTTACATCGCCGACGAAAAGACAATTTCTCTAGTATTGAAGCTCATGCTCGCCTGAAACCGCCTCGTTTTGGCCGATTCTTCGGTTGCCGATGGCGCGTGAGATCTACAGCCGCTATCGACGGAGTTTGAAGGAGGATGATAGTACATACGAGCAGTTTGAGGACAGTGGGAATGAAATCTAGCCACCATTCTCACCCCTAAATCCAATATCTCTACGTATTTCCCCATTATCATAAACTGAAATTCAATCCAAAACACCGGAGAAGAAGGGTCTAATCAGATCGAAAGAGAATTTGATGGGATCCGATGGTGTTCAATTTGCTTTGGAAAGGAGGAAGGAATCAGAGGGTTTTATAGTGTGGAGAACGCTGTCTGGATCCTTTCTCTCCTCTTTCCCCTTACTTTGACCCCCTTTTTGTTTTATATTTTCATTTGGATTCCTCTCTTTTAACTTCATTTGCATTTTTGACACCTAATTTTCTTCTTTTTTTAATTTTGACACAAAAATCTTTATCCTTGTTTAATAGAGTTATAAGTTATTGTCAACTTGGAATCTTGACCCCAAAATCACTAGCCACCCGTTATAGTATTTTTTTTATCTTAGGAACCGTTTACAAACATTTATCCTGTAAATATTTACCAATAAAATTTAATATTGTCATTTACTTACTGGGTAAGATTTTAGTCAATAAAAACGGCATTGTATACAACAATTTACCCGATAGGCTTTAACTGTGGTAAGAGTCGTCACCCTCACTTACTGGGTAAGACTTTCGGGCCTTGCATCACTCTTACCAGATAAGATTCTTGATACTTGTCATATTTATATATATATGATCACATGCACATCACATAAAATCATGTATTTGATGCACATAACAAGCATGTTATATTGTACACAATCACATGTGATTATGTATAACATGACATATCAATATTATGATCATGTACACAATCACATATGATTATTTTAATGATGACATGGTAATAAACGTACTTAAATTTTTTTAATATGTTTACTTGTGTAGTTAATCCCATATGTTCTTGTAAAGGATCACGATTGTATTGTGTAGTATTTCCTAAACCACAAGTCATATTGTAAATGATCACAAGATTGTTATAATGTGTTTTTTTTTTTGGGAAAGAGATAATTAATAATTGGGATGATCGTAAAAAATAACACAGACCTCTTCATGCAAATTATGTTGATAACTTTATCAACCTAAAATTTAACAATTTAATCATAACACTAAAATTTGGATGAGTATAAGAATGGTAATGGGGCGGGGATGTTTGTGCCCCATCCCCGATCCCAATCTCCCTTCTGTCTCTGTCCCTATTCACATCGAAAAATATGGTCACATCTTCATTCCCGTCCTCAATGGGAAATCGAGATTTTTTTCTCCAGTAATGTGAGATATTTTAAATTAAAAGTGTTATACATCATATTCGATCGATAATGGTACATATTTAAATCTTATATATTTTTAATTTTTTTTGTAGCATCAAATATTCACATGTGATATGAAATCACAACAACATATGTAATTGTTTGGTCAAATGCTTTCGACTTTTAACGTTTTTTATCTAAAAAAATAAGACAACTCAGAAAAAATGTATATAAGAAGAATTGTCAAAACATTATTTCTAAACTTAAAGATATTAAATCTATTTTTTCTTTAAATAATATATTTAATATACGAGGACGCGGGGGGGGGGGGGTGTTGGATGGGAACTATGCTACCCATCCCCGTTCCGTCCCCAGTTTTAAACTTTCGAGGATTCCCATTCTTGGTCTCCGGTTTTGCGTAGAATCTCCATCCTCGTCGGAGCGGGTACACCTAGAGATGGAAATTTTTACCCATTGGGGTGGGTACCCGACCCTGATGGGCGGGGATTCCTCGGGGTAGGGATCATGATGAGGATTTATTTCATACACGAACCGGGGTCGGGGATGGCATTAACTAGCCCATAATCTGAACCTGATTAATTTTTATTTTAATTAATATATGTGTATCGTGTGCATGTGTATGTGTGTGTATCTATATATATGTGTGTATATGTATTATTAAATGACAAATATATTTTGATTTTCAATATTGATAATTAATATAGTTATGACATTAAATTATTTTAAAATAGATCGTATTTTATTAAATGGGTTTCCCAAACCCACCAGGGATTCCTTCCCCCCCCCCCCCCCCCCCCCCCCCCCGGGGAACCTGTTGGGGACTGTTCAAGGACGGGGGATGTATTACCCGTCCAATACTCGCCTCGTTCCCATCGAATGGGATGGGTCTTATTACCATGTCTAAGGTGAATGTATCTGACCTATTCTCACATTTTGCTCTTGTTCACGTTTGAACATCACTTTATATGTGTCTGTATGTATGTATATATGTGTGTGCGTGCGTGCGCACACATGTGTATGTTAAGGGGCTTAATCATTTGAGAATTCCACAATTTATGAAATCTGTGAGATTCATCCTAAGCCACTAATTTTAAAACAATTAATATATTTTTTAAGAAAATTTTAGAAATACATAAATATCCCTTTCTCTCCTCTCCTGCAACAAATACGTGCAAACATTCACAATTAAATATGTACACAAGTTGAACATACTATGAACACAATTACAACCACCTTGATATTTTTTGTACTAAAATGTTCACAATATGTTCAGAAGTGATAGGTTTAGATTTAGTTTTGTTACTTTGGTTAACATTATAAGAATAACGTGATAATGAAAGTTATGATTAGAAGCGTACGAAGAGATCTGAATTAATGATCATTTTTAATCTCAATCTCATCCATGAATTTGTGTTTTAGAAGGGAATTAAGTTATGATTAGACACGTATGAAGCGTTTTGAACTAATGATCACCTTTAATCTCATGCTCATCCATAAATTGTACTTTAGAAGGGAACTGTTCTAGTCCATCTCATTAGTATTGATATTTAATTAAAATTGATCAAGAATGAAGATTTCTTCTTATGTTTTTCACCATAACTTCTATTCTCTTATCGTAATTGTTAACCTGTCCCAATCAGTCTGTAACTAGTGTAGTCGGTGAATAAAATTGGATTTGGCTCTTATGTTGTTAATCTTTTGAACGCCAAAAAACAAAATTGAAAAAAGCAAACTATAGGGGACCTAATTGTAATACCTTAATAAGTAATGGGTTGAAAATGAAATTAGGCACTATCATAACTACTGGTGACAATTTCAACACCGTGTCAGGAATCCAGTCTGGAATGGGTCATCAACCCTGCTTCATTCCTGAATTGACTTTTCTTTCGTCGTTATTTCCTTTTTTTTCAAACTTCTATTTAAAAGTTTAAATTAATAATAAGAATATCTACACTATCTTATAAAACATTTGGTTAAAACTCTTAAAAACTCTTAAAATTTTTAAAAACTCTTAAACTCGTTCATCCTTATCCGATTTCAGCCCTATCCGATTTCATCTCATATCTAAATTCGTGTAACTAACTGCAGATAAACACAATCAAATACAGGATAAACATCTCATTTTAAATATAAAAA